AATTGAGCGTACATATTGCATGTGCCCACTACATGCTAGCTAGGTCTGTGGGTATTCTGAGTAATAACGTTAAAAATTATACCATTTTTTTTTATCGCTTGCACTATTTTAAGACCTTTCACTCATTTAATTCTTATACAACTCTATGAAGTAGGTACGATTATTAGCTCCATTTTACATCTGAGAAGATTGAGACAAAGAAAGATAATGTAACTTACCCAAGCTGAAAAAGTGATGGAGCCGGGATTCCAACCCAGGCAGGCAGTTTCTAGAGCCCAGGTTCCTGAATACTGTACAACTGCCTGAAAGCCCTTCCCTCTTCTTATCACACCCCCCTGGAGAGCCTGGCTTAGTCATCACTTTCTGCAGGAGGTTCACCTGGATTCCTCACCCCACCCACAGAGATCCTCTGGGTTACTTTCATACTTTGTACACAGCACATGTATTATTTCACTCATTGCACTGAATATAAATGTTTCTATGTGTCTCCTCTGCCAGACCCAATCTTAGTCCTCTTTGTATCCACGCCTGGCACTTGCGTAGTGTTTGGCACAGAGCAGATGTTCAACAATGCAACTTGAGTTGAGTTGGTTTGACCGCTACACACTCAGTGCTTGTCCTCAAAGAGCTTTTGGTCTACCTGGAAAGGAAGCTCCATCCACATGCAACAGTTGGATAATGAGGAAGTAAAAGCTAAAAGAATATGGTATAGGCAGTAGTTGCTGTGAGATTTCTAAAAAGGGAGACTGGCTTTAGGGATTGGGTAGAGATATCGTCTCCACATACATACAATCTGAGATGAGAATAGCTTATAACCAAGAGAAGAGGAGGGACATTCATCAGAATGTTGACCTCAGGTGGCTAAGACTGAAATGCTCACATTTCAGGGGGTAGCAGAGCTGCATCAGGAAATGTAGGTTGAAAGGCCCTTCTTTATGATGCAGTTCAGATATCAGCTCTTCAAAGAGGCCAGCACTGTCCTTTTCTGGGAGAGTCTTTCCCTAGTATCTTGTGTATGCAGAGCCCTCACAAGACGGTGTGCATGACATGACTAAGCCAGGCTCTCGGGTGAGGTGTGATAAGAAGAGGGAAGGACCGTGCAGCAGTGAGGATCACAGCAATCTGGAACATGGGCTCTAACACAGCCTGCCCCTCCGTCCTACGTGGCTGAGCTCCCTGAGGGCAGGACTGTTGTTTGCCAATACCAGGCATGGTGCTTCGGGCACATAGTGGTAAAAATAATAGTAATAGCAATAACAATTTTATCAGTATATAACATTGATTCTAATAGAATATATATGATAAGTAACATTTATTGGACCCTATCTTCTAGCCGTTGTTCTGATTGAATTGTAATAACTCAGTCTGTTCTTGAACATCTTTGTTGAAACTTGATTTCTGGAATGATGCCGTCCTATGAAGGCTGTATCATCTAGGAAATTTAGTTCTGTAGGCCCTCTCTGTACATGACCTGCATCTTAATTCTGCAGAAGCCATTCACACACAGCAGAGGCCTGGGTGCCAGAGAGTATTGGAAATAGGATTCAGTTCCCTCAATGGCAACTTGGCCCACCAAACAGCTAGCATTCAGGACAGGCCGGGCCACCAGTCTCAGGAAGAAACCATGATGCAAAGCTGGACACCCAGCAGTGCCATAGAGAGACCTCAAAGCCACACACACACACACACACACACACACACACACACACCCCTGTACTTCTTTTCCCACTTGGAGTCTGAGATATGTCCAGGTTGACAGGTGGGCCCATTGGAGGCCCAGCTGTAGGTTACTGGGGAGGAGAAACAAGTCAGCAACTGGCGCAGACACATGTGCAGACACTATAACGAGAGAGTTTCAAACTTGGAATCCACGTTCTTTTGCACATTAGGGAGGCCCCCAAACCTTCCGTGTACAGCTCAGCCTCTCCAAACAGGCTGCCCTAGAATAGTGCCAGCCCAAGAGTCTGGACAGCCCAGGAAGCATCTCAAGCAGGCAACAATATTTGTAAAGTATTTTCTTTATGTGCTACTAACCCTAAGAGGAAGGTGCTTTTAGAGAAACGTCCAGGCTTCATTGAAAAAGCACACAACCATCAGCTTGTGTTCCTAGCTGACATGAAGCTGTCTGACGGTGGCCAAAGTCGGGAGGCCCGAAGACAGACAAGTGACTAATACTAGGCTGTGTGTGGCCAGGACCAAGTGTATTTTCTGACCACAAGACCATGTCTAGAGTCTCCTTTGTAATTACCACATGGCCTACTGTAATTGTAAACCTTATATTTACTTCCTGCCTTTGACATGTAATTCAGGGTCCAAGGCTGCACCCCAAGCTGGGGTGAAATCCTCTGTCATTTGCCTAAAACCTATAAAATCATTGTTGTGTGAGGGTGTGTGTTTGTGGTTGCCACATCTGTCAACTATGTTAAGTATATCCTTATGAAAAATATGCCCACTCCTGCCTTGTTAGATAAAGCCCTTCACTAAATCAGATGTTTACGGAACACCTATTACTATATGCCAAGGATATTTTAGACTCCAGGAAACACCCGTGAACAAGACAACAAAGACCCCAGAGGGAAACCAAGGGAGGGGAGGGGAAAAAGGAAGGAGACACACAAAAACATAACTCACAGCCCGGACGGCATGGCTCAGTGATTGAGCATGGACCTATGAACCAGGAGGTCACGGTTCGATTCCCGGTCAGAGCACATGCCCGGGTTATGGGCTCAACCCCCAGTGTGGGGCATGCAGGAGGCAGCCGATCAATGATTCTCTGTTATTATTGATGTTTCTATCTCTCTCTTCCTCTCCCTTTCTGGAATCAATAAAAAGTTATTTAAAAAATAAAAACAGCTCACAGATAAGTGCTATGGGTAGTGTCACAAAGGGATGTCACGGGGAATGCCTAGGTGGCTTCTTAGGCTGGGGCGCCAGAGAAGCCTCTCCAAGAGGTTACATTGCTTGGGCTGGTGAGTGAGAGGGAGATGGTCAGAGAGGTGGGCTGCGTGGGCCACTGTGAAGAGTGTGCACGGAGTCTCGCCAGAAGGCCCCGGGCAGCAGGCCGCAGTAGTTTGTTCTAAGATGGAGTGGAAATCAAGAATCTAGATCCGGATTACGGAATGTAGCTCAGAAACTGTCCACAGAACTCGCTGATGTTTTGGATGAGAGGAATGAAGGAAAAGGAATAATCAAGAATAATTGCAAAGGCTTTGGTTTGAGCCATGAGGAAGATGATGACTGAGTGAGAAAGGCTGAGGGCAGCCCTTCTTAGCTCCTCAGTAACAGTCATAACTGACTAACCGTGAGCCTACATCTTGGGATCCAATAAACGCCTTCACCGCCCTCCCCCAGTTCACATCACTGGGGAATGTTCATGGCATTTTGGAATCCTGAACTGTTCACACTGCTTCAAGCATTCCCCTGGCTTCTCCCCTGTAGTGCTCACTTTAGGACATCAAATGAATCACAGGAAAGCCACTGGCATTTCTCATGGGTCCTCTGTAAATGCCAGCTCCTGCCCAGGCCTCCAACCTCGGCACCTCACTAGGGCCGGGACCCAGGCTTGGATGGGAGGGTGCATCCGAGCTCTGCCCCACTGCTCAGAAGTCGGCAGCTGGCACAGACCAACAGCATGCCTCTAATATGTTGTGGCAAACAACAGGGCCAGTGTTCTTGTTTTTCTCTTTATAATCAGAAAAAAGTTTGAGATCTCTTTAATAACAAACAACTTGGGGGAGTGAGGGGTGGCCCCTGGTTTTAGTATTCAAATGAACCAGGCCAAGAAGACAGAGCCAGACATCGCTTGACTAAATCCCTGCCTGATTTGATCTATATTTTTCCCTCCAATTTTCTAATACTGGGCTTATCAAAAAGTTGTGTCTTCTGGTCAGCTAAACTCGTGTAACTGACATTTATTGCCAGACGTGACCTTTTGTTAGCACATTGTAGAATCCCAGCGTCAATATCACTTTCTATAAATACAGGTTTCGGGTGAGGGAATGTTCTATCTGGAGAGAAGTTTAGCTTCGGAGAACCTTTCTCCTTTTAGCCTGCTGGTCTGTGGGCTCTTACTCACCGCTGGCATTCTTCCTCGGCTTACGCCGTCAGACCTCCTTCCGTGATCACTCATGTTGGTAGCCACCTACGGTGCCAGTTCCCCACTCCGCCTTCCCTCGTGGTTGGCAGTGCATTTGACTTGTGCTTTCTTGCTTCCTCTACGTTTTGAAATTTAAAAATAGAAAATAAAAAACAAACCCACAGTCGTTCACGCTGGCTGAGCTCTGTAACTCATCTAACAGACTTTCCGGTGAAGTCCACAGTCGGAAACCAGCCACTGGTTCAGAACAAGCCCTGCGAGGCGTGGACAGGGGTCACTCTTTCGCAGACGGTCAAACACACACGCGGAGATGGGCAGTGGCCGCCACAGGAGGCGGCTTGGAGAGCCACCCGAGAGAACGCTCCGCTCTGCTCCTGACTCTCCTCCTCTCCTGTCTGTCCCCTTTCCTGTCCCTCAGTAACATCTAACAGAATAGAGGGGTTCTAAGACCAAAAAGTTAAAGAACCCCTGCACCACCTATCAGTCATTGCGTTTAGTGAATGCGTCCTCGTGCCTGGGGCAGTGCGAAGCGCACCACCTTCTCCATCTCTTCATTTTTGTAACAAAGCTGTCAAGTGGAGCTTTAAGAAAGGCCTGGCTGGCCAAGGCCTCACTCGCAGCTGGGCGTGGAGATAACCAGGTCCGTGGGACACCAAAGCCGCACTACTGGTTACTGGACAGCACGCCCCACAGAGGATCCTCTGTAACTTGGAACAAGTGGTTTACTGCTCTGTCTCGGTCTCCTCGTCAAAAATGGGCAGAAGGGTTAATAGGCATCCAAGTGCCCCGCACAGGGGCTGGCACCAAGTAGACCCTGAGCGACTATTGCCCCCCTTCCTTCCACTCCTTCCTGCCCTTGTCATGGTGGACCCGGAGGCTCAGCCACTTCCCTTTTTTCTTGTAGACGGTCTTCAAGCAGACAGAGAGGCTGATGGACCAGAGGGGGTTGACGAAGATATGATTGTGACCCAGAGTCAGACCAACTTCATCTGCCCCATCACGCAGGTACTGTGTCCTCCTTCCTCCCCTGAAACCAGAGCAGTTCTCTTCACAGAGGCCAGGGGCTCCTGTTTGCTTGCTGACTAGGTTTCATGTCCACGGTTAAGAAGGGAGGAAAGAGGAGTGATGGGGATCAGAGAGTATATACATGGTACACGGGAGGTCCGTGGGCTGGAAAGACTTTTCAATCAGTCATACCATTTGGGAGTAAATTACTGGCCCACAGGCCAGTGACATTGTTACCACTAGTCTCCCTGCTGTTTCTTCTGTGGCCCTCGGTCGTAATTAAGCCTTGAGATTGGGAGGTTAAACATAGAAAGCCCAACTAGGAAAAAACAGTGCCAAGTAATCAGTGACTTGGAGAAGTTACTGGAAGTTGGTCATTAGCATTCCTGAAAGCCTAATGTCTCCTTGATTGCAGTTGGAAATGAAGAAGCCAGTGAAAAATAAAGTGTGCGGCCACACCTACGAAGAGGAAGCCATTGTTCGAATGATCGAGTCCAAGCACCGACGGAAGAAAAAGGCCTGGTGAGTTGGTCCCGGAAGGGAAGTGGAGCCTTCCTAGGGCTGGGCTGGCAGAGGCGCTGAGTTCACGCCACGGGAAAAGGTGTTTTACCGGCCCCCTCAAGTAAGCCGCCTCCCAGATGGCGTAAACACGGGGGCTGGCTTTCTGGGAAAACAATCCAGGAGGAAAAGGGTAGTAACCTCCTCGGGAAGAGCCAGGGAACGCCAGCCACACGTTTCTAAAGTCGGAGACAAAGGAGTTGGATTGGATTGTCATCATTAGGTAACAGGAGTTTGGTGAATTTGTGCTATAGCCTGAAAACAAATGAAAGAACTGTGATACTAAGAGAAAGACGAACAGTCTTTCATATCTTTAATTACTTCAGTAACTTCCCCAAAGGTTTAAGTAAATGTGTGGATAGGTGGTCAATGAGAAATTATTATTACTTTTAAATTGGAATGTTTGAAGGATCTTTCATATGGATATTTCTACCTCCTTCTCAAACGCACCCCACCCCCTTGCCACCCATGACCACTGAGGACACAGCTGGGCTCCTGGAGGCTGACTTGGGGAGGTGTTGCACTCTTATCACAGACTTGGCATTGTCACCAGGAATGGAATGGCAGGTGTGGCCAGCTCTCGGTGGACTTGTGATAACAGTCCTTGGATGTGGGCTCGCTTCTCAGGGCCCAGAAATGTGCGAGTCCAGATCTGGAATTGGAATCCCCACCACCCCTCACGGGTGTGGGCTTAGAGAGAGGGCGTTGGAGACTGCAGCTATCTCGATGGTCATTCAGTCAAGTGATTGACCCTATTTATTCTAGGAGGCCGGCCTACTGGTTGCAAAATGGAGACAGTTGAGTGCATTCTTATCTGCTTTGAGCTTTCACCTTACAGTTGTGCTGTTGTATTTCCCTAGTGAAACCTCCCGTTTCACCCTGCGAATATCCTTGTCTTTGTTTCTGAACTTCTCGCCTTTCTTTTCTATGGACTCTTTCCTCTCTTCATTCTCTGCAAAGCAAAGTGTCCATTTTTTAACATAATTGCTAAGAAGAGGTGTTCCCAGAGTTCTGTTTCCAGCTCTTCTTTCTTAGTTTGGAATATTCTCCAGGAGTCAGATTTGCAAAGGGCAGCCACTGGTACAAAGCACGTTCTCACAGTCCCAGGGGGAGGACGGGGTGGGGGGGGGAGGTGGCCGGGGCAGTACGTCTAGAACCGGCTTCACATTTAAGTGGATCTTCTTAATTGCACACTTTGGCTTTCTCATGCCCTTGGCCTTTTTTGAATTGTGCATATTTGGAAGCTCTTGTGTGATACTTGCCATTTAGGAAAAAATAAATTTCTCATATTTCTATAACTTGGGTTCAGATTCTGCAAACTCTTTGGATTCTCATAGTTTAATAATAACAATTACGTCCAAGTGGAAGAAGTCTGCGAGATTGACAGAGAGGGTAACGTTTTTCCTGGGCCTTGAAAAATGAGAAAGATTTCGGAACGGCAAAGAAAAACCATTCTGAGTGAGGGGCTCACCCCACTCAGAGCCTGATCGCTTGGTGGATAGTAGGGACTGTTTCAGGGAGTGTGTGTTGGAGGGAGAATAGAAGGATAATGGATAAGAGCAATAGAGGAGTGGTGTAAAGGCTCAGTATAGAGGGTGTTAAAGGTCATGATTTTGTTAGTTTTCTCATCTATAAATTGATGCTAATAGTTGTAATTGCCTGATTAGTATGTCTTAAATTTGAATAAGATATATATAAAGCGTTTAAAGTGCCTGGCACATGGTAAGACTCAGCACACGTCATCCCATCATCATCATGGTCGTCATTTTTTTGCCACTATTATTCTATAGACATGAGAGGACATTATTTGGAGGGAGTAAGGTAGGCCACCCTGGAGTTTAAGAAGTTACTCCAACAGCAGTCACAGGATGGATTAAAAAGGCATGAGGAGCCTGGCCAGTGCGCCCCAGTGGTTAAGCACCACCCATGAACCAGGAGGTCGCAGTTCGATTCCCAGTCAGGGCACATGCCTGGGTTGCGGGCTCGATCCCCAGTGTGGGGCGTGCAGGAAGCAGCCAGTCAATGATTCTCTCTCATCACTGATGTTTCTATCTCCCTTCCTCTCGGAAGT